CATGATTGAAAGAAGCATCATGTTCATCTTACTCGTTCACTAACCTCATTTTTTACCAGTTTTGATTTACTTTCCATGATTGTGATGAAAACGCGATAAATAACTGGATTCACTGTTTGAATATTTTCACTATTTCGTCCAGTTTAAAGAAAAAATAGGAATAATGTCCGCGTGCTATATTCCAGACTCTCTCCGTACCATGTAAATGCAATGCATTATTGAGATCCTGGCCCACTCATGGCAGCTAATGTAGACCTTCGCGTCACCATAACGACTGAATAAAAGAAATTTCGTAACTCATCCAAGCATTGTTCCCTGCGCAGCCACCGCTCTATACATGTGATCTTTAAAAATACAGATCATAATAACAAGTTTCATCATTTTTTCCAGAACCAACTTGAAGGTATGTTATATTGTGTTCATATGTGATCCTGTTTGTAAATTAAGAATATAGTTTCATTGTTCAAAATTAATCGAAAACCGTAGGAATGCATGGCGATAATTGCTGAATTCATGCATTCCAGTTCAAGTCCCTCCAATTGACCGAAAACGATGAAAAATTGCTCGACCTTAAATTTGTTCACTTCCTTTTTACGTTTCTAATGACAGAATATTAAAGTGCTTCATCCTAATCCCTATATGCAAGATGAGATGCACCACACGAAAACGAAACATACACAACGTGTTTGACGTTTATGATACATCGCAGTCTCAAGGATATATTTTCGTTGGGCTTGCTAAAAATTTAGGCTGAAACTTTACCTGCGAATTTCGAAGTCGGATCACTATTATATTGATTTAAATCGCTGAGTATTTTTCACCTAAGACTGTGATTTGGCTCCGGCCAGCAGTTGCGATTCGAGGTAGTTGATAAGTTGGTTGGAAAAAGCAAAATGTTTGCAGTTTCGAACACAGATCAGCCAAATGGTCATTTCATTGTAAAAAGTAAAAATAATTATTTCACAGGTAATTTTTTAAAATTGCAGGTGAAAATATGTCATTTTTATTATGATGCAGTGATGGAATTGGTAAAAGGCCATAGCAACAGGAGAAATTTGTAGGATTCACCCGCATTTTTCTCTGATTCATGGGTGACTTTTGCACAATTTTCCGCTTTGGATGGAATTGGGCTTTGGCATACAAGGACAGATTTAGGAAGAAATCTATGTCTTACTGCTACCACAGAATTGATTTATTCTCCTGACATTCGCATTATTTCCTTTATTACAATTTCCCAATTTTAATATATTTAGTACGTTTTGATATACTCTGGTACATACATTATTATATACAGCCTTTACTGTTTTTCAGGAGTCGTTGCAAACCTATTTATTATCAATTAGGTCATGAACATGAAACTTGAATCTTCGATCATCGATCATGTCACAACGATTCACGATGGTCGATCAACCTACAAATACCAAACATGAATTTACCAATTCTCATCAATCGGGTAGCGAAAGTCAAGCGCCAACAGCCATTATTTCGAATTCACGATCACCGTTGACCGCATGAACAGGAATTAGATCATCGCTGAGCTTGCCATTTCTTACCCATTTATGAGAATCCAGCCTCCAGAAACCTGTTCCAGCTTCGGTGCCCTCAGTGAGACACGAGTGGCCAGGATCGACTCATGCGACTTTTTCTGGGAAGCGTTGATCTGAGATTCCAGTACATGGGAGAAGCAAGCGACGGGATGGAAGTGATGCAAGAATCAAAACGTGGAAAGCTGAGGTTGGCATGAGGCAAAAGTCAGCTTCCCAAACACGTCACCGGAAATCAAAAGAAAGTTTTTCCTTCCTCATGTTTTTCAATGATTTCTTATAGCGTGAAATTTCTAGGAAATTAAGAAATAATATGAACCATTTATTACAAATGATGCGCTGTAAAATAAATGAACGAAATTTGGTCCCTGTTTTCTACGCGAATGCTACCTACCTGCTAACGTTACGTACGCTGTTTCTCTTCTGTATCAATGATAGCGAACGCCAAGTGCGCTGAAGCTTAACTCTATCACTACATGAGCTGGTGCGTTTTTGTAGCACTGAACATGAACACAAGTGTTAGCAGGTAACTGTATCGGTTAATGTGAACGCCACATGCGCTGGTGCATCACTGCATCACTGAACTCCAACGCCACATGCGCTGGTGCATCACTGCATCACTGAACTCCAACGCCGCATGCGCTGGTGCATCACTGAACTCCAACGCCGCCGCATGCGCTGGTGCATCACTGCATCACTGAACTCTAACGCCACATACGCTGGTGCATCACTGAACTCCAACGCCACATGCGCTGGGTGCATCACTGAACTCCAACGCCGCATGCGCTGGTGCATCACTGCATCACTGAACTCTAACGCCACTGGTGCATCACTGAACTCCAACGCCGCATGCGCTGGTGCATCACTGCATCACTGAACTCCAACGCCTGTCTCTTATACACATCTAGATGTGTATAAGAGACAGCTCCAACGCAGCATGCGCTGGTGCATCACTGCATTACTGAACTCCAACGCCACATGCGCTGGTGCATCACTGCATTACTGAACTCCAACGCCACATGCGTTGGTGCATCACTGCATCACTGAACTCTAACGCCACGTGCGCTGGTGCATCACTGCATCACTGAACTCCAACGCCGCATGCGCTGGTGCATCACTGAACTCCAACGCCACATGCGCTGGTGCATCACTGAACTCCAACGCCGCATGCGCTGGTGCATCACTGAACTCCAACGCCACATGCGCTGGTGCATCACTGAACTCCAACGCCACATGCGCTGGTGCATCACTGCATCACTGAACCTGTCTCTTATACACATCTAGATGTGTATAAGAGACAGCTCCAACGCCACATGCGCTGGTGCATCACTGCATCACTGAGCTTCAACGCCGCATGCGCTGGTGCATCACTGAACTCCAACGCCACATGCGCTGGTGCATCACTGAACTCCAACGCCACATGCGCTGGTTTATCACGACCGCAATAAGATCTCTGCCAGGCGCGCGTCACGTAAGTTGTTCGACAAATACGTATGCGTAGCAAATAAAATGCTGGAACTTCAACTAACCATAACAAGTAGTCATCTGTATCATATTATTTAATTCGATGTAATGGTAAATCTTAAATCTAGAGCTCCTGCCATGCGATTAAAAATTGAAATATATACTCGCAAGCTTTTGCGATCGTCTGATAAACTTTTTAGTTGCGATTTTTGTGCCTTCCTTAATTTTTTTAATATAATCAACGCGATAGACGAAACTCTGCCGGCGCCTTTCGTAAGTGAAATTATCTCTTCTTTCGTTCATCACATGATGACGAGGAGTCATTTACGATTTAAGAGTTTTCCCGTTTCCACAATGTTATATTTTTATCCAGGTTCATTTACCAGTAGGATTTGGTATTTTTAGGTAAGTTATTTGGTATTTATCACAGAATGTCACGTGTCTGCGTCAGCTTTTTTTTATTTAGCGGCCTTTGTTGAGTATGTCAGTAAATTCTTTCCTGAATATATATAGATATCTAAGTCAAATGATTCGATTTTGATTTAAATTCCTAATTTTTATTCCACTAACTCTTTGAGAAAACAAATCATTTGAAATTATTTTAACATTTTGTGAACGCAAATCACACATGTTCGTAGATATCGCAAGATTCTTTAAACTTTATTGAGAAAAAGGATATTTTTCTCGCATCGGAAAGTTGTCAATGATTCTCACCGAACGATTTTTGCACATTTTTAATGTATTTTTCTTTGTTTAGTAGATAAATACCACAGAGGATATTGGACAACACTGATAATTAAAGTGCTTAAAAGCCTCGCTTTAAGTCTCAAGTCTGAGCCAGCGTTGCCAGATGGTATATTTCTATACCAGATTTCACAAATCTGGTATTTTCAGAAGGTGTCTGGTATGAACATTTTAGATCTGGTATATTGCCTAAATCTGGTATTTTTCTGGTATTTTCTGACTTATTGCAAATTTACTGCATTAAGTTCCACCTCAGAAGTTTGAATTTCCTCCAACGTAGGCGTGGATTATATAGATTACCATCAGAGTGGCGCGACTAGAGGTTTCCCGCCATTTTTGGAACCGCAAGTTTACCGCTTGATAAAATAACCCCAATTTAATTGTTATCATTTAACAAAAGTGCTTAGTGCAATATGAGCATGAGAGTGATGATCCATCCTCGATTGATTACTGATCAGTGATAAACTGATGATATGGCCTTGGACGAGTGAGGTTGTCGAACCGATCTGCGACGCAAGCTCCACCATTTTTGTTTGGTGGTTTTGAATTCTAGAGTGCCACTTATTGGGGTGCCACTTGAATTCTGGGGTGCCATTCAATATTGCACTGATCTTGACAATTATCATCCATTCAGGGAACTGGCTGCCTACTGCATCACTTGTCTACTTTGACCTGTCTCCAAAGCATTCGTGATGCAAGTGTTTTCACTAGTCACCTATGTGAAAAACAACCTACGGAATAAAATTTCAACTACGGTACCGTACTGGAGTCTCTTATTCGGACCAAAAGCTACCTGCTCAACCGCAACAAGTGATCACACCCGAAATGTTAGATTAATGCAATATGCAAGCATGTACGAAAATGAAGATGACCTGTTTCCGTGGCTTGCTCATGTTGAGCGAAGAGGAAAAAGTGCCACAATAACACTCACTGATAAAAAAAGGAAAAGGTGTCAATGTAATCAAACACAGGAAAAGAAAAGTGTCAAAATGTTCCAAACAGAGGGGAAAAAATATAATGTGTTCAATTTGGTTAATTATCGTCAAGCCAGATAACTGCACAGTACATAAGATAATTTTTTTCTAACCAACGTTTCTGACGAATAGTTTTATTAAATTTGGAGGTATTAGTCTGTTTTTGAACGATAGAATTTCTGGTATATTTCTGGTATTTTGAGCTAGGCAATCTGGTATTCTCGCCAAGAAAAAACCTGGCAACACTGGTCTGAGCCTCCAGTCGGCGTTTGGCCTGTGCAGAGGTAGGGTGGTGCGTTCAAGCTCTGTCATACACTAGTATTGTGAAATGGTCTCATGAAAGTATGCTAGGTTTACTGTGAACTAAAAATATCTACACCAGTGTAACGGATTCGAAAATCTAAATTGATCTATCGAATAGGAAAGTATAGCTTCAGTATTAATCAATGTGGCAAAGAAATAGCTCCGGGCTTTTTGTGCTTCAGTTTTCCTGGGAAGGTGAACTTTTCTTTCAATAGCTTTTCAAGTTTCAACAGTACAATATTTTTTTTTTAGAAACGGTTACCTCAATGCTTAGAATAGGATCCCTGACTAATGTATCTCCGTTTTTTTAAAACTAATTCAGAACGTGAGTTTCTGTGCCACTTTACAAGTGTTTTCACTTGAGAGTTCTGGCAACCAAGTATAACTTGCACTTGGTCTACTATATGGCTCCAATTTTACAGTCATCTTTAATCTCTCTTCATCCAAAGTGATATCAAATTTATCATCCGAAAAATTGACATTCATTTTTTCAGCCGTTCATTTGTTTTCGGTACGGAGGCCTAACAAATTCGCAGCGTTGTTGATCGTACAACGTACAAAATGAGCTCGTGTGACCCAAGCAATGTGCTAGTCTCGCCGTCGATATGTGTGTGCGGGCTGCCGTTGAGCATGCTGAGTGTGCAAGTGCAAGCCACAACGGGCAACATCTACAATCTCAGAGTCGCGCACTCCGACACTGTAGACTACATTCGAAGAATTATAGCCAAGAAGACCAAACTCTCGAAAGAGCGAATTCTGCTTCTGTATAAAGACAGGTAATTATAAAGAATCGTCAGCCTTTATGAACTTTCGACCGATTTTTGCCGGTAAAATTGTGTATGGTTTTTCGTTTTGTTCATGTTTATATGTTATTGATGTTAGACGCTAATACCTAGGATGTACATTTCGTTTTGAACAGTCTGCCTTAACGATTTTGGAGACATGAAAACTAGTGTTGAACATTGATCTTGCGAGCGTTTAGTATTATTCTTTGTTTTGAACTCTTTATAACTTATTCAAAGCCAGAGACGTTCGCACCGTAATGTATTAATTAAATTTCGACAAATTACTTCATTTTAGAAAGTCAAGATTTTCAAGAAAGGGATCTAATTAATTGGGGAAATCACTTTGTTACCTTTCACGTTTGTATTATATATACTCAAATAATGTGTATAATGTGTACTAGGATGAATTATATATCAACATTTCATCAGTAGCAAGAATAATAATGCGTCTTGTTCAGTTTGGCATTGTGAATAGCAGGATACATATAGGTATTATCGCGCGAAAATTTTTGTATGCGTCTACCGTCAACAACACATTAGGTAGTTGCCCCAGCAATTCTACCTCAGTAAACTTGCCCCCCTCTAACAAAAACCACATAATCCTATAAAATTAGTATGAAATACTAATGTTTGAATTGTACAAATGAATTTTTTCAAGCTTCATTTTTTCTTCTGGGTGAAGTGGTTACCCCAATAGCTCAAGCAAAAGCTCCTTATTTAAAATTTACAAAATCTTAAATATTTCAAGAAAGTTCTATTTCAGTCCCAATGACAAGAATATTGTTTCTATTGGAGAGCTGATGACACGAGCTTTTGACTTCACCCTTATTTATGTATGAGCTGAAATTGCAAGGTGTTAGCCCACAACACATCCTCCACAGTTAGGATTTTTTCAAGCAAATTTTCAACATTAGTCAATACCATTGAAATGAAATGTAATTTAATTTAAAACTAGATAAATATTTTGTGATCAAATTGTATTGGATGTTTGAGAAAGATACCTTTCTAACCATTTGTACCATCTAGATTGTGTATAGGTACTGTGCAAACCAAACTATTTTGGAGGTTCGAATGAACCTTATGTTGACTTGTTATGAATAACCTTTGTTTTTACACTGTCTTCAGTATATATGATGTTGCATCAGTGCCACTTTCCACCAGTTGGGCACTCACTGGCAACTCCACATATTTCAATTGAGTAGCTGAACCATTTCATAGCATTCGAAAGAAACTGAGAGTCAACCATATCCACTAGGTATTGATAAGGTTTCCTGATTTGCATGATACAAATTGGACATGGAACTAGCTCTATTTCAGACCAAGCTGAGCTTTTAGGCCATCTAAAAACATTAATTCCAAGACATTTTTGTTGTCCAGCTTCCAGGTGAGCTTGGAGGTGTGGTTTTTAAATGGGTGAGAGAGTTTGTCTTCAAAATGTTTTCATTGAGAAGACGGTGATTTTTTTATTTTCAGGTGATTTTTTTATTTTCGTGGATTTATTGCTGCTAAATAAATTTTAATTTTCAATGTAAACAGAAATTTAATCTTGATAATCATTTTGGTGATATTGAGTAATAACCGATAGCTTATAACCAAATTGTATGTACTTATAAGTTTAACTTTCCCAGGGCTCCAAAGTCCACTGGACCTTGGTTTGTGTAATTTTGTTATTTACTCGACACTCAAACTCATTAAAGATGTAGAAATATGATGAAATTTTATGAACACGCAACCTCGGTATTGGTAGCAGTCTTCTCTATATAGTTACTGTAGTATATAACTTTCCAATGAAAGTAAATCTGTCCAAATATTTCATCATTAATAAACATGGATGTTTTCACTTCTATGTCTCAAAATCTTATCTTTTACGTCATTCTATTTCCGCCGCTGCCTCAAACGACCACGCATAACTAAACCTGGCTCTTTATGTTGGCCTCGTCATCACTCTTCCTGTGAAAGACATGGCTTTCGTTCATGAAGTTTCTCGAATTAACATGTCATTCAAACTCTGATAAAATTATAAAAAAGAAATCGCGTGCTGGTTTAAATGATATCAATAGTTAGAACCACAGCTGGCACAGATATCATATCTTCGTACGATACTTGTCAGCATATATCTATGTCTGTCAGCTTATATCTATGTCGACATCTGAAAAATAGGTAGAGTTCGTGTTTATTATGTTAAATAAGTTTTATTGAAGGTCAAAGAATAATTTTTAATGTACCGTACCTTCACATATGAGAAAAATAATTTGACTTATTGAGAAAGCCAGTTGGAAGTTGATAAATAAAACTCATTCTCTGGTCATCAATCAAACTCGTTTAAAGGAAGAAATGTTGCCATCCTGTACTGTTATCCCCATTTCATAGTTTGAAGGCATATTTCACTCGATAGACAATAAAATCAAGTTTAGAGCTGAGCATGTACGGTATGTATGATACGAACGTAGTGGTCGCAGAGGCCCAAAGCGTTGTGCGTGGCAGGCTCCGCTGGCAGGAGAGTTCGTTGGCCGAGCTCCGACTACGGCGACTAGCTATCGCTGCAGCACTGTTGTTTCGTTTCACCAGTTACTCGCTCTTGCTTCTAGCTCCTGATTCACGACATAGTCTTTCTTTGCCACTTATCACTGCGAATATCTGAATTTATTCTCTCGGAAAATTGTCTTATTTATTAATATTTATTGTATTTTATCATTTGCAGCGTGTTTTGCAGGTAACACTGTTCTCATTCACTGAAGAAGTTGATAATTTATTACGTACTTTCCGTTCGATTTCTTAACAATTATAATAAAAAGATGACGTGGTTCTCACGAATCGTAAGCGAGGCAGATTTGCCAATACAATTACAACTTGCACAGATATAGTATGTTGCTGCAACAGATAAGTTTATTTGATAGAAGATTAGAACCTGACATATCGTGGTCCTTTTGCTTTCATAAATGTACGCTTTCTCTGTTATTTCATGAAATTCTTGGTCAACTATCTAGTTTTTATCTCTATCTGCCATGCACTAATTTTTTTCACGATTTTATAAAAGGTATATCATGCGTATGCCGGCCATTAAAATCTATGCCCTAAAGACGAGAGCATTTAACATGTTCAGTCCTAGGAAACTCACGTGCCGTGCTAGACGTTTCAGTTTACAGATAAAATGCCAGTAAGCCATGTGCGCTCCATTTCTCGCGTTGCTTATCTCAGTTTAACACTGGCGTTTCCTGCGTTCTCTGCCGACACCGCGCGTCATCTTTGTCTACCGTCAGTCACATTAACTCACGAACCACCTTTCGGGAGTTGCGTGGTTGGTCGTAACAACCAAAAAATTTGTAGGTCTTGTCAACCAGAAATGCCCTTTCGAAAGTTGTCTCATTTGCGTGGTAGGTCGTAACCACCAGAAATGTCCTTTCGGAGGTTGTCTCATTTGCGTGGTAGGTCGTATCAACCAGAAATCTCCTTCTTGACCGTTGCTTATCAACACTGGCCCAAGACAGGCCTGCTTTTCGGGATTGTAATTCTGTCAAACGGTAAGTTCACGAGTTGAAAATTTTACATTTTCTTCGTGTTAGTGTTTAAATTTTAGTCTATTAGGTGCCAAGAAGTCAAGCATTTATTCTTTAGAATACGTGGTTAAAATATTGGCACTATTAACATGACGTCAGTATATAAGCTCCATAACTTTGAAATTTGCTTCCTTTTGTTTAACGTTTAGCAGAAAATATTAATGAACAGGAGATTTATAAACAGCTGTGTAAGGAGGATTTCTATACTTGCATTTTTAATTTCATCGCGTAACGAGCATTAAATTATCTAGAACCTTCAAATTCCAACTGCGATGACTAGCCTCTAACGATACTGAAATATTCGACATAGTTCATTGTTCAACCTGTCAGGTTTGAGCATAAAGGGACATCTGAACATTCCGGACTCCGTGTAGCCGCGTGCTGAGGTTTACTTTCAAACCTCTCAACCACAACCAATCGGTTTCTCCTTGTTCATAGGATCAAAGTTGCTAAGTAGCTGCCGCACGAAAAGCACAATACAGAATTCGATTCAAACCTTACTCGTCTTTCAGGTTCTTCGTCTTTTTCAGTGTGATAAATTTCTTATGGTTCACGCGTATCCTGGATAAAGGTTTTAAAAGCATGTATTCTGCGTTACTTGAACTTCAATCTGTGCCATAAGTTAAGATCTTCAGAGCAGGTTAAAATCTTCTCAATAAGGTATGGTTCGATGGTATTTTAAGAAATTTTGCATCCAGCTGCAATATTGGATTCGTTTATTTCGGCACGAATCAATTTTATAAATTCTTTATTCCCAGTCTGAAGCAAATCGCAAAGTTCCTTAGAGTCTTGAGGCGATGTAAAGTGTGGTGATGCACCTGAAATTTGGCACCGCCGCAGTATTCCTATGACGTCACAGTTATACGCGGCGTCGCGCATGGGCGTTGCGGTTGGGGCGTCTGCTGATCCAAGCCTTTACTTGAGGCTTTTGGGAATTTCTGCTTCGTCGGGATATCCGATGAGTCTTGGGTATCCGGACGAGATAGTGTCTTCTCAGAACCCTCCCGCCTATGGTTTCTGAGCATAATTTTCACTTGATTTAGCAATTAATCTATGGCATGTGTCATCTAAAATTGTTGTGTCTCTGTTTTTGTTATTCCTGTTATCATTCCGTCATATTAAAATTCTGATAAATAATAACGGTCAAATTTTCAATTTAATGTATCTGGAAATGAATAAATTATTAGCGGTTATATTACTTGTTATGTTTTGCAGACAATTACGGGACGGCAGCCTTGAAGAACACAACGTTAGAGATGGGGCGAAGCTCCATCTCGTTCCTTCAGTGGAGACTGGCCTCTTGGTGAGTATTTAATCCTGCCTAGTATGAATCATTTACTTTTCCGCTTTTGTTGGAAACAATTCCGCGTACGATTCTTATTTTGTGTGCATTTATTTTAAATTATATTGAGCCTAACGATATGCACCTTAAACTTAACTAGTTTCATCGTGAAATAACTTAATAATATTAGCCTTTACCTAATTCAATTAGGGGCAATGAAAAATTGTAGCCACATCAACGATTATCTCTAAACACAGCAGCAAGCTCTGATGCTCGTTACGTTGACACTACACTCAGCTTGAACATAGACTAATTTTAGGATCACTTATGAAATGAGTTTCTTTCCAACGAATTCTTGAATTAGCATAATTTAGTGAGCCATGGACGTGAAGATGGCGGGCATGACGCTCCGGACGATGGGTAGGCCTACAGCTAATGTTACAGGCGCCGACTACGCTTCTTTGACCTCTCTTTTTTGTACTGTTCTCGAGCGTAGCAGATCTCTGCCCTGCCTGTCCTTTCTTGGACCCTCCTGGTTTGTTCGCTCTTGGACTCTTAGGTGTCTCATCCTGGAGTTTTGTTTGTATCTCAAATGGATTTATTTTCCACATTCTAAGTAATCTTCGTATCGTTAATAATTTTCTTAAAAATAAGTTATGCGAAAGTAAGCTTGAACTGAATACGAAGTGCGCGCAACTATATAGGTGAATTACATCTGTCTTCTTTGTTGTAGTCTGTTGCCCCCAGTTTGTAATTTTTATTTTGTGCAACGGCTCGAGGGTTGCCGTAATGAGACGGTTTCGAATTGTTTAGTGCTAACGCGGAGAACGCCTCAGCAGCAGCAGGTGGCAGCCTGGCATGCCTCATGGGCCTGTGTTAGAGCCACAGGGCACCACGTCTAAAGCGTTCTGTTGTCATTTTTGTCATTGCCACTGAAGTTGCTTCTGCCACTGACATTGTTGCCACTGCTGCCTCATTTTCTTTGTTAATGCCACTGGTGATGCGTGCCCTGCACCCACCCATACCTGCGTACTCGCCAGCTGCCTGATAAGCCTCGAGTGACCGCTTCTTATTCCCTACGCAGCTGCTTCGTCCACGGTCATCGATGTATTTTGCTCTCCGTTTGTCCTCATCTATTTATCATGGTTGGCCCTTGGATTAGTTCGTCTTAGTTTTCGCAAAAACCGTGGTTTAAAATTCGTCGCCCGTCCCCACGAAGTTTTGCTTGCTGATACGACTACCTTTTTCTCAAAGCTCGTCAAATACCTTGGCTGGTCGTAAGATTAGTTTCTCGCCGTAGATTTGAAGTGACCGATATTTGCCTGGGCCCGGAAACAAGTTGTATACTCTCAGGTTCTGTTCTAGTGCTGAACCTGTCACAAATTTGAGCTTTAATGTGATGAAAAATATTTAAATTCCTAAGCTTGTGGTGACCGCATTGTGCCTCCGCGAAAATGAATTTTGTTGTGATAAGTTATTATTTTAACTACATCCAGCCTAAAAATTCTCATATCTGTAGATTTAATAATATTTTCAGATCTTATTGAATTTAAGGTATAACTCGAGAGTCACTCGACTGAGGTCATATTTAGGACCGAATTGAACTGGGTATGTATTTAATTCTTCACTTAATTCAAATTCATTTCCGCGATATCAGGTGTGGTTACTACGATTCACTCGCCCATAAATGCTTTCATGCGTGTAAGTCTAATTAACACCTGAGTGCTACGTATGTCTTTAAGTTCGTTTTTATTCACTGCTCTGTCCTTGATCTTGGTGATATTTACCTCCATGCCCCTCCGACGTTCACGTGGTCGCAGCTCCCACCTTAGGGTGTGGTCTCTTCCATTGAGCTTATCGTATTTTTTTCTGACCTTTTGGTTTAGTTTTTGTGATATTCGTGAAACCTTTGCCTCGAGAGTTGTCTTGGTTGTCTTGGCATGTGGAAGCCATAATTGATATCTCCGTAAATCTTATGTGCGCTCTCTTAACAAACGTTCAACGTATAATGGTGCTTAGTTATCAAGACTAAGTTGCTTGTAATCGCGTAATAATTATACGTTTGAAATCTGTTTCTTCATTGTCTCATTTTCCAATTGCTAGCATACATATATGACGACGGTGAAGCTTGTGAGTTTTAATAATAATTCACATATTTATACCTCCAACTCTTCTTTTCGAAGTAATTCATCTTAATTGTGGCATTGAAATGTTCACACTTCATCTCACTCATTTTTCACTTCATTCAATTTTTCTGAAGTGCTCGTCCGAATGACATAATAGGCCCCAACGCTCTCTTGTTTATCTTATCTCACTATTGTTGCCGGAGTACAATGCTGCTCGCGCTCTTATTTATCAGCACTTCTGCTTTCTTCCCTGTTTGGAAATTCTTTGACTCGCACAGAAATCTTTCATTACGTCGAGTTACCAATAAAGTCTCGTGTCTGCGAGGTAAGCTCGTTTTGATTGTGAAGGAGTTTCTAGTACCTAGCTTCACTCCTGGGCGTCGTGTGCTGAAATAGGTCTCAACTTTTCTTTCGGCGGTATTTGATGGTATGCTATATCGAGGGTACGATGATGACGCAGAGTTTTTCCTCGGCTTTGTACAGTCTTTCTTTAATAACCGCTCACAACCGCACCCTCTTCTCGTCCTCTACAGCTCCTCTATAACGCCAGGTCTTTTTGGAAAGACAAGGGGTGTTCCTGAATAAGGGAAGGAATGAGCCGTTGGGATGTGTGTGTGTGCGTCTCTCCTACATTCTCGACCACCAACCCCATCTGTGTTAGTGGCGTTGTCCCTATCGTTCTTTCTCTCCCATGTCGCCGCACTAGAGCAGGTGTCTCGTCTTCCAGTGAGCCTGGCTTCCCCTGTACGCTTTCTCCCTCATGTACGTCTGTCTTTAACCTACACGCACCTGGCTGTGCGTACACGCCTTTATGTGACGGCATCCAGAACCTGATTTCAAATCTACTGAGAATTCAATACATAACCGTGCCCTCTCTGCTACGGGTAGCTGGATTGGCCTTTTTGTCTCGTTGTTATACTGCTGGCGTCAATTAAATTTTATTGTTTCCTACTAGCTGCATGACTGAACATTGGTTTTTACTTCATCAGTTATTAACCTGAAATAGCTAAATTTTTCATCCACTGTCAATTAATTATTTCTGATTTATCGTATAACTTGAATTTTTTGTTATTGCGAATGTACAACAATTCCGAAACATCTTTGTTTTTAAAAAGAACAAAATTTTTTGAAGTTTTTGTTTAAACAAACGATCCACGAATGAACTGGTGGTTCTTAGCGAAATTTGACCTTATGTCAGAAAGCTTTATGCTAAGAAAATAACAGGATTTGTTACGCGTTTTGTATGGTTTCTCGCATGACATGGTGCGGTCAATGGGAACTTCGTTGTTTGTGTGTTTCAAAAAATGGTTTGGAGTGCCTTTGGAAAAATATTCTGCCGATTTTATTTTTTTTGCAGAATGTCAATCAATAAACTTGGTACCTGAATGTTTTGGAGTCTTGATGACATTTTTGTCATCAACACTCGTTACTAACTAGTTTTAAAAATTACGTACACTAATATAGGAATAATGAGGTCAACTAGGAACAATAGAGTACTTATGTGGGCGTATAACGCTTGTGCCAGGCTTGTCTTGGCCGTGTTTTCGTCATCATCATTTGGCCTACGAGCCGCTGCTTCTACCATCTTAAATACTACACTACTTTCTTTTTGTTTCTTCACATTTCAAGCTTGTAATGTCATCAATACAATTCAACCATCGTTAGTTGATTACTTTCTGCTGGCATGCCGTGAATACAGATACTTTTTGACGAGTATTGTATATGTTAAGGTTAACACTGACATGTTAATGAGTGCAGGAATTTATAAACTTCAGCTGCAATTCCTGGTAGAACATTGGATTCATCAGGTACGCTCCATAAAATCTGTAGGGTTTCCGAGACGTCGTATTCGCCATGGCTGTCAGCTTTGTGTTATGCCGGAATGCTCCACGTGTATTGGAAGCCGCAATTCGTGGCAATGTAAATTTCTATTCGACTACTTATGAATCATTGCTTTGCATTGTCATGTTCCTGATCTGAATTTTAACATTTTTGGAACTGTGTTTTTCGACTTAGAAATCCTTACAGTTATGACCTCATTACAGTATGAACTCCTTTTTTTACAGGCGCTTGGAGGTAATCTCCTCGGTAATAATCATTTGCGGACGAATCAGTACTTTCCCTTATGATAGCATTTTCCACATTTCTTCACTCCCGATAAAAGTTCGATTGATATTCGTGATGTATGAGCCTTGTGGCCTTATTGTAGCTGCATTGTAGCAGCGTCGGCCGAGCATTGCACTGCGGTAAACAATGAACTCGAGCGAAGGCCGTTGCGCCGCAGTGTTATTTGTCAGCAATGAGTTGGAGTTTTATGTCATATCCGCCTCTTTAATTTACTTCCGTGCGTGCAATCTAACTTAGTTTTCGAGTGAAAATTCACACGGCTGTTGCTAAGCACCAATTTTATTATTAAATTGCTTCTATGATTCTTAATGCTAATATGAATAATTTCCTACTGTGAATAATGTTTACGTGTGCACGTATCAGTATTGATCAGATTCTCCTGGAATGAAACTGTTATACACTCATGATTTTATTTACCAAACACACGGCGGATTAAATTGAGATTAAATTTAAACTTGCTCTCGCAGAGGAAATTTAGTGAAGATGCTCTGAAACTGGGCCGTCTTAGTCATATTTCTTACCGGCTTAATATTGCTGATGTAGCCTACAAGAGAATCGGTGCGCCTTTCTGTCTGTAACGGTCTATAAGAATGTAACTGTTCGTGATTGTTTTGATTTTCTAATTTTTAGTTTAGCACAGTCTCGTTATTGGCTCAGTTTCAACCATGAAAGGTGATAAATAGGCTGATCGCGTACGACGTGATCCTTTTAGATTATCGGTCCTGTTAACAGGGTGATTGGTACCTATCATGCTACCGTGCGTGCGCT